CAAAGCAAAGATGATGTTTGATTCTAACCTGAGATGGTGCTGGTGGATAAGGTGGGTGTATTGGATAACTGGGTGAGCTTGAATTGGACTGTGAATCTTCAAGATATCTGGATACTGCAACATTTAAATATGAAATATTTTCATTGCTTTTCATCAGATATCTAAAGAAGTATTTATAAGACAAATGGCAGCAAACAGCTGTTCTACTCTGTTTGATGTCATTTGATGTTTTTCTCCTCCCTTGCCTTTTTTGGATCCCACCGGAACAATCTTATACACTTTATAGGGGTCTGATATGTCAAGCTGACTGCGCTCCACAAGCTCCTCAAAGTCATTGCTCTTGTTAAGAGCACATCGAAGACGTGTTTTCCAAGTTGGTGGGTCAAGTTTGTCGATACCCTCCCGGTATTTGCCTTTGAATAGTGCCCAAGCCTGCAGAAAAGTGAGCAAACCAAGAGGCCAACACATGGGTCAATAAAACATAAGGATGTCCATAAAAAGGAGAAATATTTAAAGAAATCTAGTTTAAAATACATGTGGCAAGTTCCAAGAAAAGTAACCTTCGTTTTATGCTGGTTTCATACATTTTTCACAAAATTTTTGATTTACAGATTTACAGATGTGGAGTGGTTGTGACCATTGTCCTTCCTTCCACCTTGAAAACACAACTTAATTTGTTGCTTTCAAAATTTTTCAAACATATTTTAGTGAGGTATTTTTATTTATTTTTTTACAAAAACTGAAGTTTTGAGTCTTGCGAATCAAGTTTGACCTGAAATTAAAAAAAAGCGCTTTCTCATAAAAAGTGCTATATATGTGATTATGCAAACATTGCACTACGTAATGATTTCAGCCTTTTTATGACATTTTAATCCAAAAGTTACACCACCTAGACATATATAAGCACCATATATATATATATATATATAAACAAAACAATTTAAATATGGTAAAAACATATGTGTTGTCTAACAACTGCACTTGAATGCATTTTAATAACACAAATGAACGTCACGTAAATAGACCATGTATTGAAATATGAAATATTAGTAAGATCACATGGGAGAAATAATGCTTTACTGACGCTGCATGTGTGTGTTTCTCTTCCCCTCAACGTTCATCCTGACTGTACCTTGAAGAGCGCAGCATCCTCCTCCCTGTTGTAGTCCTGCTTGCCCGCGTGCTTCCACGGAATCCGAAAGATACTCTTCTCATCGTTCTCCCACACGAGTCCAGGGTATTTTCCGGTGTCCACCTGCTCTATCAGCCACCGACGCAACTTTCCGTTACCGGAGCCCCCCGCCATCGAGCGCTCTTCATCTGAACACATCTGAAAACAGAAACGTATATCATTCAGCTTTTTTCATTACCACATTAAATGCAAAAACCAGTATGGTTAAAGCTAATAGTTAAACAAATAACTAAAAATTCAGGGAAGACTGAGTTGAAAAAGACATATGCCTACTGCAGAAAGTACAGGAGCGCGTGCTGACCTCTTTCAGAGCTTTCGAGTTTTGAAATGTGTCAGTAACGTAGTTCAGCTTTCGATCGCGAGTTTTCTTCAATTGTTTGCATTGACAGGGGCGGAGCTTTCGCCACAGACACTCACAGGATTCCACGCACCTGCAGGCAGCGCGCGTGAGATGTGACGGACGTCCCGTAAGCTCGCGGGGGCTGTTTATATTGAACCCACGCGCACTGAAGAGGGACTTTTGGCGTTTAATAAAATAATTTTAATTTCATTGAATTCCTTGACGTTGAAATGTCAGCTGTTTGTTTATAGATATGAGTGTAATTTGTGCGTCTCAAATCTATCAAATCTTTGGCTAGAAGTAGGCACAACCTGATCAGCCATGCAACAGATGCAGAAACGGTAAATTATGAAATACATTAATAAATAATACTGATTTGGCTTAGCCCCTCACATAAACCATGTTATTATCGTTCTTTTAAACAGCATTTTTAGATTTAGCCTACATTTTAATCTATTGTGTGCCCCTACACATTAGGCCTACCACAAACTAACATCACATATTGCTTTTTTATAACCTTAACATGATTTGCCCCAGAAGCCTTTCTAGTGCATTTTATATGCATATCTAGTGTTTCAGCTGTGTATTTTCCCGTTATTAGAAAGCTTTAAACTATGTAAATATTGGTGTCTCAGTGGCATTCCTCAGTAAGGCTGATCTGTGTCTATTTGTAGCCAACAGAGGGCAGTATGTTTTCAGTGCGGCCATTCTCTAAAAAGACAGCCAGCAACCACTACATAAACCACTACATTGCAATAGAATTTTAAAATGAAGAATTTTCATCCTACTCAAGACATTTTCATTCAGTGATAGTGGGAGACCATGGTTGGATGGGTTAATTTCAGTCATAATACTGCCACAAATTGTAGGATATATAAAAGTTTGCCCTCTGATTTTCATTGAGTTTATCAAGATATTAAAATTAATCGAACATATCGAGGTGAGGGAACTTGTAACCTTACTTTGCCAAAAGAAAAATGAACTATTTTCTAAACAATTATAATTTAAATAAAATAATGTTGAAGAAATATATATGAATATTATTTTAGGCTATCAATCATGGGAACCAGTTAAATTTTGATGTAAGACATGCAAGCCTGTGATAAATTGTTACATGGCAGACAAAATAATGTTTATCATGCCTTCATCATCTGTTTTGATGAATGAAGGCTACTTTTCAAAAGACTTATAAAGATTTAATTATTATTATTATTATTATTATTATTATTATTACTACTACCCTTGTCCCAGATCCAGACATTCCAATAATGAGAATTCATTATCTAAAATATGAGTTCTTACATGTTTTAAACTTTAATCCAAAATAATAATAAATCACTTTAATTGGCCTATTTATTAGATGAAAATTTTTTTTTTACCCCTCATATATTTTAGCTAAATAGCAAGGTAAATAGAGTAGTGTAACAGGTACAAAGTGTAACATATTTAGATATAAGTTTAGCATGTGCAGGATCATGATGCATCAGCCAATGCTTTATAGGAAATAAATATGCTAATTTAGTTGTTATTACACAAAATGTTAAATATTAAAGGAGGGGTAAGATGACCCCTACTGGGGAAGTTGTTCCCCCACCTGAGGCAGCCTAACTTTATCAAGTGTTATTAATGTAAAATACTAAATCATATTTAAAATGTTATTTTGACAATTTAGCGAAGATGTTTGAAATGCACATCTAATTCATGGAAATATTAAATAATATTAAATAATAATAATAGCCTAATGTTAAATAATAAGCCCACTAATTACAATAAGTATTACATTTAAAAATAATAATAACACTATAACAACATGCCACTTGGGTCCTTAAGTGCCAATTCTGGTCTAATTTGATCTTTTTCCTTTAAAATAAAAACTATGATTTTATTGTGCTTCAAGAAACTTGTATTTGAACAGTTAGTAGGCGGATTAAATAAACTTGAGCGTGTTAAAATCATCCTGGCTAAAAGTGCCCATAGCTGAAGAGAAACAATAACAAGCTGAAACTCAAGTTTTTTTTTTTTTTTTACAAGCTGTGAAACCTCCGACCCTAGTGACGTAATGTAAAGAAAATGGCAGCGACCTCACCCAGTGGAAGGTAGTTTACACGTTTGTTTGCTTTGATCATTTGTTATTACACTGTAACCTGGAGCGCTCTCTTTGTTATAAAACAGCTGATTAATTTATATAGTGTTGAATTATTTTATTATTTTCATCAACAACAAAGAGAAACACGGCGTTATTATAAGCGGTCATAGACACGAATAATTTCCTAGGACAAACTCTAATCAGTTGTTTTAGTAATTGGCTGGAATTATGGCACATTGTAAGGCTGGGTTGTGTTGAGCACGCGAGCTGTTGGCATTTAGCGAGCACAGAGGGGGGGCATCAGGTGAGCAAGCTAGTGAAACGTTGCACGGCGCAAAAGAGAAGGTCTGCACACATCCAAAAACGTATTTTAAATGCAAAATTGATTTCCGTGTGCTCGAAAGACTTTTTTCTTTGCGAAACGAACATTTTCTCCACAAACTCAGATCGCGCGTGTGCAAAATGCACTTTTGTGCGCTCAAAATATGATCTATCGCGCGCAGAATTGTGGCAGAAATGTAAGCCCATAGGAATGAGTGTAAATAAAGCAAATTGCGCTACTGGTGTGGATGTATGTGGTCATATTGTTGACTCAAATATTGTAATAAATAATACATTACTCGGATTCAAAATGTTTTTTGTTTTTATTTCTTGGTTACTCAGACGGTGCCTTGTTAACAATGTTAAATAAACATCAAAATTTTTTTTTTTTCTTGTTTAATCACGGTGCCTTGTCAACAATGTTAAATAAACAATTTAAATATAATATATAAATTGTTGCTATTTATTTATATATTTAATGTACATCCGGTCAAAATTACTCGGCTGCTGTCGCGTCAGTGGGGGACTTAAATGCACAACAGCAACATACGGTTGATCTGAGTTCGAATCCAGCTTTAATCAACTTCGTTCATCTTATTTTCCCCCATCATATAGCTGATCTAAAATGTGTTTATCTTCAATAAAATGAATTAAAAACTCGCGGGAAAGGTGGAAATAAAGTACCAAAATAGCTATTGATGATTTGGGTTGGGGTAGGTGTAGAGAGGACTAATTGTCCCACAAGGCATCATCCATTTGATAACTTTAATAAATATTTTCATTTTAACTATTGCATACTTTTTTTTAGACTATATCTGCCATTATTTCCACTAAGTATAAATAGCATCTATCTACACTTAATGCAAACATACTGCTATTTTTAAATAGTGTAAATAAAATCTATCGCTATTTGCACTTAGTGTAGATAACAGACTGCTAAATAACGCTATTTTCACTCAGTGAATATAGAAGTGAATTACACTTGAAATATACGTTTATTTGAGTGATTGTCATTTTCCATAGAAGTGAATGTGCCAAGATAACGTGGGCGTGGTTTGTGAACCATGTCACCGCGTGAAATCATGTTAAAATGACACTTAAACTGTGTCGCATGCATTAAAACAGGTATTGAGGAAACAACACAGCGTAATAATTGCATCAACATTTATTAAGAACATTGAGAATGTACCAACGTCTTTTCATTACAGCTTTGCAGTCGCTTTTGACGAATCTGCTGGAATGGGACGTAAAATGGCTCACATGCACGCGCACATCCCCAGTTAACATGATCCCCAGCTGATCCATCACACCGGTAATTCTGGGAGGTATACATGTGATCATATGAGCTCATGTAATTGCGTTAAATTAAACGTTCGACCGTTTAAACGCGGAAGAACAGATGACATAATCAAAGGGAACTTCAGGGATCAGTTTCATTTGTCCCGAGCACTTTGTCAGAATGGCTGGAGGAAAGTGTGACTCTGATAATAATCAAGATTCTTCTGACGACGGCGTGGAAGAAAATTGTATTTTCTGTAAAATCGCAAACAGAGACGATCCATCCACTGAGATATTGGCGGAAGTAAGTAAATTTTTATCTACTTGGTTCGGGGTGGCTCAACTGCTTCAAAGGTGAATTAGATTAGCAAATTCGTCCCTCTTCCTAAATATAAAATTATAATAATAGGCCTCTCTCTCTCTCTCTCTCTCTCTCTCTCTCTATATATATATATATATATATATTAGTTCATTGTAGTCATCAAGAAAGATGAACTGGGAAGGAAAAATGATAAGCAGGATTGGTTCCGTGTTGCTTCGAGAACCGTAACTTCCTCTGATCCGCGAAGCGCGTTATATAGAAGACAAACCGTTCTCGATGTATTTACTTTTATAATGACATTGTTTAATGAGTCATTTAGAGGTTTTCATTCAAATGACTTATAAAGTAGCTAAAGCGACAGTGTAGCTTTACGTTCACGTTCCGCTTCTGGAATAACATTACTGCCGGTGTTGTCTAGCGAAAACTGTGACCAGGGGTCGCTGTTCGGCGGAAGCGCGCACTCGTCAGATCAGGGGCCAGTTGCATAAATTTAGCCCCCATGTTAAGACTGTGTCTTAAGAACTAGTTTGACCAACTAGCAGTTGCCAAGGGGTAATCAGTCTTACTTTTCCAATACAAATAAGAACAATCTACCTTTTCATAACTGAATTAAAAAAGTTATGACCAGTCTTGAAGAAAACAAATTAGGGGACTAACTTTTTAAGACTAGTCTAAACAGTTTATGCAACTGGCCCCAGAAGCGGAGCCGAGCGGTGCTGTTAAAAATGTTTCCTGTCTTAAGACTAGAGAAAACGTCCACTGAACAGGCTAGATATTGTCACGAGCATCTAAATGCTTATATAGAAATGTAAACATTAATGCTGCTGTTGTTGTCTAATGTGTTACTAATGGTTTCGTTATGAGTTTTAGCGCTTGTTATGTACTGTAGGCTATAACATATTCTGATTATCTGATAAATGTAGGTCTTATCTTCGTTCTTATTACTGTTTACTGTAGTTACCCAATAATGTTGGAGATCGGTTTGTTCCTTGCAAATGGATATGATAGAGTTGGCTAGGGTCACTGAATCTGACAAGTTTTTTTTTTTCAGAAAGAAAAAATTCATTGAAATGCTTTTATAGTAGCTACAGGAGGAAGTGCTTTGAAAAAAAAAAGAGCTAAATGCTGTTAACTAATATGGTGACCATATGATTATCAAATATGAAAACGTAAATATAGTCATTTAATATTTATTATAAAATAGTTTGTTGAGGTTCTCAACTCTAATGGCCAAGTTGCATGAAACTGTGCTAGCTTATCTTAAAATAATTTGAGTCATATCTTCTGCTATGATCTCAGGAGGCGTGTGGTCATTTTTGGTAGTCATTTCACCCTCATAAGTCATTTCTTATTGGCTAAAGTGATGTTACTCATCCAGTATGTCCCCTTTATAAATACAGTAGGGTCCAAAATCTGTACATACATATACGCAGTAGTGTGCATGTTAACAAAATAAACACACATCAATCTTAGAATACACATTATAAAGTAATTTACTTACTGTTACAAATTCACAAGGTTCCCCTCTGTTTTCTGTAACATAAATATACAATAATAATCAATACTTTTATAATACAATTACATAATTAGTATTATATACTGTAAATGTCAAGGTAACTATAAATGTAATGTGAATTTTTTTTTTTTACAGGATGAGGACATTGTTTGCTTCCAGGACATTGATCCAGGTGCACCTCATCATTACCTGGTTATACCAAAGAAACATGTCCATAGCTGTTTGTCACTCCAAGCTGATGATATAAATCTAGGTAAGATGATGTCTTTTTTGGATGTGCATTTGATTATTAAATTGTGTATCACTGTTTTGTGAATGGCTTTTGTATTTGTAGCCAGCAGAGGGTAGTAGCACACAGAGTATTAAGTATTGAGCCCTGGTTTAATTAGCTTATTATTAGACTGACTATATATTAATTATAGTGATGATATTAACAGACAATACAATTACAGTTAACAAACAATACCATATTGATGACTGGGTGAATGTTTCAATGAATTGATTTTGTATAAAACATTTATTTTTATAAGATACAATATTAACATTCAGTGATTACATGGGATTTTTATATTTTTAATCTAAATGTGATTATCCTGAGCAGTGAAGAAGATGGCAGATATGGGAAGAGATGTACTGAAAGCCAAGAATGTCACAAATTTGGAAGACATCAGGTTTGAAGACAACACTACTATCATATTAATCAAGCATTTATTTGGATGAAGCAGTTATTAAATGAGAATATGACTGTATTTCAGTCTAGGTTTCCATGTGCCTCCTTATATCACTGTTCCCCACCTGCACCTCCATGTTCTAGCACCTTTCAGCCAATTGTTTAAATGGTCAAGGTGCAAGTATACAGCCATCTGGTACCTCACTGTGAGTAAACTGAACACCTTTCAGAGATTTCTTTGATTACACTTGGTTGTATAAGAATTTAAAGTTTTAAAAATGTATCATTATTTCTCGTGTGTGTGTGTGTGTGTGTGTGTGTGTGTGTGTGTTGTCTTAAAGGAGGACATGCTGCTTAAGAAACTGATGGAGAATAAAAAAGAAAACAATGGACATGTAACAATTGCATGCTGCCATGTGTAGCTATGTGAGCCTTATTACTGAACAAAAAACTTGAAATCACAAGGCACTTTAGTGAAGATCAGTGGTTTTCATTTTCATATTTTTTATATAATGCTAAAGTATTTTAAAGCCTGGGATGGTATTTTTTTAAATTTGACAATTACTATTTATAACTAAAGTGTAATCTAAACAATAATGTCTAATGTTATTAAATGGATGGAAATGTTGATTTTTGTGTGATTGATTATTTATGTTAGTACACATTTTACATGCTATGTTGTGAAAGATTTATCATACAGTGAGCCATGTTTTCTTCAGTGTTCATGGTCATGTTCTTTACATATTGATCAGAAGGCCACATCCTGTCTTAAGTGTGCGGTTCTTGGTGTGAATAAGCTGCTAAATGTGCCAAAGCACTACACATGCCAGAAACACATGAAATTAAGAAATATTTTAAAACTCTGAGTTAATGGACAAAGGTTAAACAGACTTACAGTACAGTCATCGAAACTTTTTTTTTGTTTTTATTCATTGAAATTATATATATATAATAACTATATAAAAGTCAAATATATAATATAAAAGTTATATTATAGCTATATAATTAGCTAATTCAATTCAATAATGTGACAAGGCAATCATGTCAACACATTTAGCTTAAATGACTTAAAACCTCTAGACTGTTATTTTCTCTGTTTCCTCATTCTAGCTAAGGCAGACTAAAACGAGTGAAGATGTTTCCTACATGGTCTCTCAGTAATTTCACTGTTGTTTCATATGTAAGAAAGTCCACTGTGTGTACAAAAACATGAAAAAATTGCTGATGATATTGTATCTATCCCCTTGACCCATAAAGATGAAAGAATAGCCTTATGTATAAAAAAATTATTTTTTGACCCTCTAACACTAGCATTTTCTATTCTTTTTCTATTCTACTTTTTATTTATTATAAAAAAAATTAAAATAACTTGACCCTCTAACACCAGCTCTCTCTATAAAAATTTTTAAAAAGCTTGCTACGTGTGCTGCGGTAGACCAACCGGGACCTGTCACGTCACGTCACTTACATATTGAATGAAGACTGTTATTTTCTCTGTTTCCTCATTCTAGCTAAGGCAGACTAAAACGAGTGAAGATGTTTCCTACATGGTCTCTCAGTAATTTCACTGTTGTTTCATATGTAAGAAAGTCCACTGTGTGTACAAAAACATGAAAAAATTGCTGATGATATTGTATCTATCCCCTTGACCCATAAAGATGAAAGAATAGCCTTATGTATAAAAAAATTATTTTAAAGACTTGTAATGTATTGTTGGTCTACCTATCAACAAGAATATTTTCTGATAATCCAGTATACTAATTTAATTTGAAATACCGTAAAGACCAAACATTTTGCCACATGCAATTAATTTAATAAAGACAAAGCAAGTAAGAATTTTATATAAGATCTTTTATTTAGCAGTTTTTTTTAAATAAACATTGCTTCAGAAAAACTAATTGATTGAAAAAACAGTGATCAACTTGCACTGAAAATATGGCAAAACATGGCAAATGCTTCATATTCCGGATTATTTAATCTAAAAGGGTCTAGAAAGTGCATATTCGACCACATTAGAATAATGTAAGATATAATAATGTAAATTATGTTACTAAATTATAGCCTATGCATATCTTGTAATACTACACAATTTCTAGCATAACATCAGATTAAAAGCTCATTTGCTTTCCTGTTAACTGTGACTTCAAACACCGGGTTTCAATATCATTTACAGTATTTACAGTACATGTTTACAGGTATCAAACTGCAAATGAAAAGGCATTTTTATGAAGGCACATAGGAAGGTCTATATGTTTTGAAGTTGTGAAGACTGTCTCTGATTTGTTTTAGTTGTTTAATTTGCTCTCAGATGTGTTATTGTTCACTTCAGTTCAGTAGTATCAGGTTTAATGATTGCTGAGAGAGCTTAGTTTTGAAAAACTATGGTCCTTTTCCCTACATATCTCTGGCTACCCATTTTTAAAATGATAAACTGAAAAAAGTCAGTAGATAATGCAGCCCTCCAATGCGCAAGTTCTCACTGTTCACAATCAGTCAGTGTTTAGCGCATGGAAAGCATCCACAGAACATTTTCTTGAATGGGTTGTTATTGTCATGTCTCTTGGCCTGTCCCAGTTTGATAAGGACTTCACCAAGCATAGCATCGGTTTTCTGAACATTGTTTAAGATGTAGTCTGTCATGGGTCCTTGTTCCTCTACAAGCATAGCCACATCCAGGAACACTTCATGAAGGCTCTGGAGTCGGCTTTCTAAATCCAGCAGGTCGCGATGTCGGCTCTCAATCTGGTTGAGTGCAGAACGAGCTGTTTTCCCTTCTGACATGATGTTATCATTGAAGATGTTCCACTGACCATTCTCCAGCATCTCCTCGATCTGGTCACCTGTCACGTCTCGGCCCACAATCTCCATTTGCCTTTGAATATGACGCTTGCACGATTCTTTGTGATCCATCTCAGCATCATTGTACTCTGTCATTGCGTCTCGGAAGTTGTTGCTTAGGGTGGTGTACTGTGTTCGGGTGATTCTCGCCACAGCTGAGTTGATGCCATGCTCCTCTTCGAGCTCTTTGGTGTGGGCATCCATTTTTTGTAGACGTGCCAGAACATCCTGTCCACGTGTCTTGATGTCACCTACGATGACATTGGCATCCTGCTTTACGTGAGTTGTACGAGTCGGTTGGCTAAGTATACGGGTATTTTGGTCCCTGAGACGCTTCACCTCGAGGCGGATGAGCTGAATCTCACGCCTAGTGTCCTGAGCCTTATCGAGCACAGACTCCATCTCATCACTGTTGTCATAAATGACGGCCTGCTGGCTGAAACCCTCCTCCAGATCCACATTGCTGAAAGAGTCGGATTCCAGCTCCTCTAGATGGCTGTTAGACTCTGAAATGGTCTGAAGATGATCCAGTCTGTCCCTCATGATTGCTAGAGGGGAGAATGAATGGAAAAGGACACTCAATGCCACCAGACGTGATGGGTAATATGTGATCTGGTGTAGGCTAAACAATCGAAAACAAAATAGCAAAATGATAACGTTCATATTTATCCCATAGTCCTTGTTTTCCAGAATAAAATCATTGTCATTCCTTGTGTACCTTCTGAAACTGACTGTAAAAGGGGGAGATAATACTTCCTTATCAACACTGAAAAAGTCACACGTCTAACAAGTTCATCTGTGAAACTATTTCTGACTGCCGTCACTCACCAAACAAGTTTGAATGGATTGAACTGATAGTTCAGCTTTTGTTTCTTTACAAATGCTGTTCTCTTCAATTATTTTACAACGAAATGTATAAATAAGATACCTAAATATATCCAACTGTATTCGAGCCACTAAAGCTTTACAATTTACAAATGTGTAAACCTGTCTCTTCTAACTTCTAAAAATCTCAAATTAAAGATTGAATTAAGTTTCTCAAACCAGCATTTTACTATTTGTTTCATTATAAAACAATGTTGTATAGGCTACATTTTAAAGCATTTTACATGTTTACACGGACAACATTCAGGCTAAATTGTTGTAGGAATAATTAACCATAAATCCGTAAAATAGAAATGATGAGCTGAAAAAAAAAGATGAAAAGAAAGAAATAAACTCATTGTCATTCACTACAAAGTGCACTACCTTGTTTTTTTTGTCCAAAATTATGACCGCTTCAGTCGATGTGTCATCTCAAGGCTGCAGCTCCATCCTCACTGCGCTGCAGCTGTCATTGCATGGGTGGGGAAAGGAATGCGCGTTCCAGGGCGTAACATTGACGCCAAACCTGTTTGCTGAACAGAATGTCAGACGTGTGACTTAGTAACACTTGACATAATCTCGACTGTTTTGCGAAATGGGACCAAGGACGATGTCATCTTCATGTCTTCCATGTCACATAATACATTTAATACAAATTTGTGCAATACTATGGTAGTCTGAGTGGGACCCTGGCATGCAAAAATGGTTGCAAAGTCAAGGATTCAAAAGTTTGAGCAACTTCGAGCTTCAATTTAGTAGGCGTATTGACAGTGTGGAAATAGATTACAGAGTTGACAGAAAGTAGATGATTATTTAACTAAAGAAATTAAATTACAATCTTCGTCAAGAGTTTCGAATTGATAATTGTTCTTCTTATAACAATATAATTAATTGTACTAATTATTATACCTAATTATTAGGCTATAACCAATTAGTCATAGAATATGCATATTGGTTGTTTATACTAAATGTCTTGTTTTTTCTTCTGTTAGCCTACGTGGCGGGGTAAAAGATTAGACTTTTCTGTCTATTTTCAAGCCTTTCTCAATAAATCTGTCTATTCTCTTTTAGTTAAACAACACGACCAGCGCAGGTGCAGGAGACTTTAAATGTACATCCAATAACGGTGACAAAAATGTAACAGTTTGGTTTATTTCAAATAAAATCAGAACATTGAGTGCACGTGTTGTGTACTTCCCTCAGTTCTCATCGCCTCTGAAGTGTCGCATCTCTGTGCTGCCCCCTGCCGGACATACTGGTCTCATCACACCTGACTTGGGGCGGGGTCTGTGTGCTACGTTATCACTCACATGCGGTGTTGGACAAGAAGACGTGAAATTAGGTAAATGCGCTTTTTATTTTCTTGGACAGACAATAGCTCGTAACCTGCAAAGCGGATTTTGCAAAGAATGCACACAGAAGGACATAATTTGAGGTAGGCCACAATGATGATAATGCTCGAAG